TGCAATGGGAAAGTTTGCTGCTAGGGACTTCTCCAAGTACTGAAAAACAATGGTGTCACTCTGGAGATTAAGGTGCACCTGATACAATTGATTGATTTTACATGTTATCTGGATCATGTTGTTGTTGTTGTTATGTACTGTTAAGTTAGTTCCAAATTATAAATAAAAATTAAAGATCAAATATTTCTATAAAACAATACTATTTGAAGATAATCCCTTCACAAATAGTGACATTCAATTTCTTGAACTTGTTACTATGATAATTTTTTAATAAAATGCTATTAACAAAGAATATTTCTTATTCGAAGAAAATGGGATAACAAATTTAATTGTCAGAATATTTTGCCTGTGGAAACACACACACACGTCATTAATATATAAAGATAGAAATAAGAGAATGATATGAATTAAAAATTTCTTTTAAAAAGTAAACAAAAACAGAAATTCATTGTCATTTTCAGGAACATTAAAATTCCCAGTGTCAAAAGTCACTTTCTTGATGTGCATAAAATTAAGTTCTTTCAGAAGCTTTAGAAAACCCTTCTGGTGAATTTTAGTGTCAAATGTCCATTTGGATTAGATATCCATATAGCAGTATCCTAAATGTGTTTATAATTGAATAAATGTGTTCATATGTCTCAAATCATACTTGTATATATAGAGATAAAAGTATTAGTATATAACAGGAGAAGATGAGAGGTGGATATGGGGACTTACTAAGAAGAGTTGTAATTATATTTGAGGCATTGTGTGTTGTCAAGTTGGAACTGACACATAGCTTAACTTCCAGCAGGTTATCATGAATCTCATGTACTTTAAGCATGTTGTTAGGAGGCACTACTCATAAGAAAAAGGCATCATACTTGGAAGAGTAGAAGTCAGTGAAAGGAAGACATTTTTAGAGATGGACTGACAGTAACTGCAACAATGAGCTTGAGAATGGCAAAGATTGTGAAGATGGCACATAATGTAGCAAGGTTTCAATCCATTGTTTATAGGGTTGCTGTGAGTTGTAGTTAAATCAACAGCACCTACAATAACAACAAGATGTGGGAGTATACCATATTCTACAAAGGACTTTAGCAAGTGACTTAGGTTGTGGAGGAAGCAGCAGACTTTTTATTTGCCAAAACAAAGGTTCAAGAGTTCACTTCAAAGGAAGGTGTAAACTAATGAATGAAAATTTGCAAGCTATTGTCAAGTAAAACTTTAATATCAATTCCTAGCTTAAATATAATACTTTGTCTCTTGATATAATGTGGCAATATTACTAAAGAATACTGTATATACATTTTGATGTTGGCTTCTCATGATTGATTGTAGATGAAGTCAGTGCTAACTGAAGTCCTTGAAAAGCCAAAGCCAGGTATACATTTAAAAAGGATTATAGGTTTAGTCAAATATAATCCGAAGCCTTGAAATGGAAACTTGATCATTTGGGTAGGAGAAAAGAGAATGAGGGTTTGGGCAATTCTATGAAGGAATTAATTAAGCAGTTATAACAGCAAGTTTATTTTCAAATGAGTTATTTTCTATTAATTATTTTCTAAATTCTATGTGTTACAGTCAAGATTTAAAGCTAACTTATAAATAAATATGTAGAAAAATCTATTTTAAA